GGTTGAAATAAAAGTGTACTCTCAAGTGATCGATCTGTAGTTACCGAAATATAATAACGTTGAAGATTATAATCATATGTACAAAGAACAAACATATCTTTTGAAACCTTTACAGCTTCACGTTTAGATGCATCCTTCACAAGATCAATAATACAACTTTGAGAAGATTCATTTCCTCCAAATAATGTGAGACGAATCATAGGAGTAGCATCTTCTCCTTCAAAACAAGTGACACCATCTGTAAAGGGTTCAACAATATATGAATGAAATATCCGTTTTGAATCCAATGAAGATTTATAAATTTGTTCATATTGTAGTGAACGTTTCGTTCGATTTTCTACCACTACTGGTATATTGCTATTTAAATCAAAATCCACTATAAATTGACCATTTTGTCTCCATGGGGTAATAGAAAGACAAGCAAAATCTTCACGAATCGGTTTATCAAGTGTTCGTAGTGGAATACGCATACTTGTAAATACAGCTACTCCCATTTTTAAAAGTACAGAAGATAATGATGATCCATCACTGTTTGTAGTTCTTTCCTGTACATAATGTTTCATCGCAATAGGAACATTTGAACTAGAGAGAGTAACGAGTTTTACTGGATCTGACCAAGTAAAAATATCCCTTTCCATTTCATTCTCTTTTTCTTTTTCTTCTTCCTTCTCTTCCTTTACTTTATCATANAGAGAGAGAGAGAGAGAGAGAAAGCAAAACATTGATACAACACAGACACACACAAACACATGGAGTCAAGCATGAACGTAAATAAAATAAAACCATTAGTGGAAAATACCCATTATTCAAAGAAAATGTAGTCCCATAAAATCCCAAAGAAAAAAGAAAAGATTATAAACAAATTGAATATCTTTTGGTAACATTGCAGAGATAGCCACACACACAAAAAACAATAATAACGGATAATGCATAAATCTCTCTCTGTGTTGATTTCTCCCTGTCCCCATTACAATTTGCAATGTCCCTACAGGAACAAGCAAATTATATGTTACCTCATTCACAAATAATGTAAAAGCAAATAAAAA